CCCCAAAACCCCAAAACCCCAAAACCCCAAAACCCCTTTTAGTTATATAAATCTGGAAGAAATCTAAATTATTAAATAATAAAATGAAGTCTTCTTTGTGCATCCTTCTTGCATGTTTAGTCTTTGCTTCTGCAACAAATATTCCTGAAGGAGGACTTTCTTCACAGTTCAGCATTAATTGTTTTCATACTTTGGATTACACCTTTTTTAATCTGGAACCTTTGAGAAAGCAAGGGTAAGTTTCGAGCCTTAATCAGAATAGAGATGGAGAATTCCATACTATGATCAGAACAGTTGGAGGTGTAGATGAGTATGAAGTCAACTTCGACTTCTGTGAAGCCTTACCTGAAGTAAGATCTTGCAAAGACGTCAGCCCTTTGGCAGTTGAATCAAACCGTGAAGAACAATTTGCTGATTCTTGTCGCCAGCTTACCAAACATCATGGTCAGGATCAAGACGTTTCTCTCCAAAAAACTGACTCAGAGAATTCTGAGAGATTTATCCAGATTAGTCATACTACTAATCTCCAATGTGAGGGAGAAACCAATTTTGGAGTTACTTTTGAGATTTTCTGTGATAAAGATCAGCAGGATCTTCCTGTTTTCACCGAAAATGTTGCTAAGTCTACTGACTGCAGGCCAGTCTTCAGAACCCATCACAATGGTGGCTGCCAGGTCGGAGACCTTGGAGCTCTTTGGAGATTTGTTGAAGCAAACAGTATCATCTTTGGTATCGCTTCCATGGTTATTGGATTTTATAACTTGATTCTTGGTAGAAAATTCATTAAGCCAACAATTGGCTTGATCTTTTTGGTCACAGTAGTTGCTGTCATCATGTTTTTCTTCTACGTATTTTTCCTTCCAAGAACCACTGCTAAATGGGTTGGATGGCTGATCCTTTCGATTTCGGTGGTCCTTGGAGGAATTGTAGGATTTTTTGCATCGAAGTTAGTGCGTATTGGAGTTATTGTCTTAGGATTCTGGGCAGGTGTCGGTATTGGTCTGCTTCTCAACAATCTTGTGTTCTACCACATCAACCATGTCTCAGTAGTATGGATCTTAATGGGAGTATTTGGACTCACTCTCTCTGTGCTTTCTTTCTTCTGGTATAACTACATTGTAATTATTTGCACCTCGATTCTTGGCTCTTACTTCTTTGTCAGAGGAATTGCTCTGATGGCTGGAGGTTATCCAAATGAGTTTACCATTTATTCAAGCATTCGCAATAATTCTTTCCAGGGCATGCCAGGTACCTTCTGGGCTTATGTTGCTGGAATGGTTGTTGCCTGTGCTCTCGGTATCATTATCCAATTATTCATCAAGAAGAGAGAAGGAAAGAAAGAAACTGATGATGTTTACAAGAGAGTGTAGGAAGACTGAAGCTAAAACCTAATATTGTCTGAGAAATTCAATAACCAGGTTTTCTAATGGGGTTTTGGGGTTTTGGGGTTTTGGGGTTTTGGGGTTTTGGGGTTTTGGGG